ATTGTCTTTTTTTTCTTTTTTTTTAGCAATATATGATACAGAATTTACCCTGGAACATTTCAAAATCCTTCCCTCAGCAGTTTTAGAATTAATATATAATGATAATGGAGTGCATGTAATAGAAACACTGGCTCCTGTCCTCCTATGTTGTTCCTTCTAATAACTTCTGCAGTACTGTACTTTGTCGTACTGTGTAATTTGCAGAATCCATAGTCACTTGGATGATTTACCCTAACCTATTTACTTACAGACACAAGTTGTAAAATTCTGTCTGGTTGCTTGTCAGGCCTGGCGGACGTTAAATAGAATTAGATTTATTTATTTTATTTATTTATTCAACATATTTATATGGTCGTCCATCTCACAAACAAGTGACTCTGGGCAGCATACAACATAGCTAAAATAATTAATGTATACAAACAATTATTATTATTATTATTAAAAAAACTTTAAGATTATAAAAGGCATAAGCTGAAAAGAAAGAATAAAAAAAGTATTGGGCGAAGAGCAGGTGTTGAATACACTGGAGCCATCTCAATATTTCACCAGTCCCTTGGGGTCCCCAGGCCTGATAGCACAAGACGTCCAGAAAGTTAGAAGGGATGAAGCTAGTCTCACTTCAGGCGGAAGAATATTCCAGAAAGCAGAGGCCACAGTAGAAAAGGTTCATATACTGTACTTATAAAGAATTATGTTACATAATTTTATTTGTATCCTTTATCATTGTTTGTATTATCTCTTATGTGTATGACCTTGACTATTGGTCAGTGACTATAATAAAAAACTGAATTGAACCAAAAATTCTTACCTGCACTGAATTTCCCATTTGCCCCACAAATCACAATAGCTTTCACAGCGGGGTCAATATTTGCACGATTCATTTCTTGTTTTAAAGCCCGTAAAGTCGTAGCACTAAAATAAATCAAACAGTCATTTAAAGTGTAAAGAAAAAGACACACCTGCCTGAGTGTCAATATAAAAGAAAGAGTTCTCCAAATCATAGTTCAAATAAATTGAGATACAAGATAATGGACTGTATTGCTTCTAGTCCTATTTCAGCAAGAATAATCCACTTGAAGGGTTAATCAATGTACATAAAGCAGATTCATTTGGAAGTAATGCCATAGTTTGACATATGTTTAAAATGGCATAATATATCTAGGTTGAAACAAATCTGGACAACTAGATGGCATCAAAGGGATAAAGCAAACAACCATCCCTTGCTGCCATTTAGTGGTCATCCAGATTTTTGAAATGCAGATCTAGCAAGTCTACTTTAAGTCTTGGGCTTATGAGCTTCCTCTTCACGTTCAGCAACTCTATACAGTGGCCTCTTACACTGATAGTCATAATATGGTTTGCTTGGCTTTAATTTATCATGTTGCTTGAACCATGCCTATTATTAAAACTCTTGTTTTTTTGTTGGCCTCCTCATGTTAAAAAACCAGTACTACCGGATAAATAGAGAACCATCATGTCAAAGAGAAGACTCTTCCTGTTTGTTGGTGTTTGGTGTGAGATATAAACTCTATTACCATTTCTGGAATATTTAGCAGATATGATTTTTAAAAGATCAAGTTTTATGACAAATATAACTGTAATAATTACATAAGCAATGAAACTAATTTCTGAAGAGCCATCCATTTGTAAACAAATCTTCATATTTCACATTTATATGCTTACTCAAATATTTAATTCCAATGGTTAGAATTAATATCTATATACCTGTCATTTTCAATTTACTTCAACTATCAAGGTCAAGATCTGCTGCAATATATTCTTTGATAATTGTTATGGTTGTTTCATTATTATTTCTCTCTCCCTGCCCCTGCTTCAAACAGATCCTGGCATTCTGACGTGGCCTTTCTCTTGTGTGGCTTAGGCTCCCCTTTGTCTTTTGCTAAAAATTGCGTTTTTAAAATAACTCATAAATCTGACACGCTGTTAACATATGAAGATTGAGAAGATTAAAATTGCCACTAGAGGTAGCTAAAACACTAGCAAGACTTTATAATATATTAAGAGAGGGAATAGAATGAATTATCTCATTTCCAGGATTAATGGAAATGGAAGGTAATCTGATAATCCAGGTATTTGATGCATGAAAGATACCTGTACTGTTTATCCACTGCTTAGTTAGTGCTATTTGAGCTGGCAGAAAACTGCAACAGCATGACATTAGCTGCCTGAATTGCTGATCCCTATTGTGTCTTTATTGCCTGTATTTTAATTCACTGCAGTCACCTGACTTCCTCCAAACTAATGCGTGACAAAACCTAATAAAACCTTGAAACTGCCGTTGGATGGTAGTGGAATAAGGGGGAAAACACTGTGTTAATACAAGTGCAGTTAAGAATAACTTAAGTTCCTTGATACATAGGCTAGGACCAAGATGAAGACACGGGAACATAAAAGAAAAAAGATGTTACTAGAGCATGTCTCCGTTTATGGTTCAGTGCAAGTGCACAAACCAGACCATGGATTAAACTGTGGTACAGAGGATCCCCAAACTATAATTTATTATTGGCTAATTTATTATTCATGCCTTTTCTCAGCCTCTGGGCCATGGAGAGCAAAGCTGGAATTCACTGCCCACAGTGACTTTGATACCAACTTCATTTAATTAAATTATTTGGTAATTAAAAAAAACAAAGCAAAGCCAAAAGGCCAATCACTGTGAAGATGATTGGGCTATCAGCCATTCACTAGGAAACTCTGACAAGGTTTAATATGCCATGTATGTCATCTGATACTACTAATAGGTAACTAATTTATGCATGATTGGTGGCAGACTTTGCTCAGAGTACTGTATCATATAAATATGTTCATGGAGTCAATAAAAAGTGAACCCCTTAACTGAAATTGTTCACAAACTGTAAAGTATTTAATTGATTATATTTAGTTCATACTTCAAGAATTCACAAATTTTGAATTAGTTGAATTCAATATGACTGGTCTTCATTGTGACTGGAATATCTGGCATATAATAGGGCATCTATATATCACTCAAAAACAAAATGCAAAAGCTGGGTTTCATACTAAAATTGTCTTGTTAAGATTGAAAAAGAAAAACAATGTATTTAATAATAAACTGTAACTGAGTATTTCATAATGGGATTATCGCTGTGAATCAGCTGAATAGAATCCAAAGTCCTGAGAACACCGAGACATTAGGTTTATGTATTAACCAGAATTCTTTCCATGATAGACCTTCCACCTGCATTATCATGCCAACATTACTGTTTAATTCTGAAAGTGGGATTTATGTAATTTATGTCATTTTTAAATATAATTTAAATATAATTATTTCCCACCTATTATTGTCTCAAGAAAAAATTGAAAGTGTGATACAAGCAATATTCTCCTTCATTTAAATTTATCTTTAGTTTAGGCTATTACCAAAGTATTGAATTAATTGTTTTTGCCACTTAACCAGTAGAATATCAACACTTGGTGTTCAGATCAGTTGGTGTTCAGATCAGTTGGGAATGGGCAATATAGAAATTTATTCTTGCAAATCTATTGGAGGACAGTTGTGTCCATATCACTTTCCAGATTTAAAACCAAGTACAGTATAGAATTTTCTTAGAATAAAGATATACAGTATTATATAATCATATATGACCCACAAGATGTTATTATGTAAGAACATATGAACAAACCAATAGCCTAATTAAAAATCTTTGTAGTTCAAACTGTACAGTCTGCATTTCGGCTCACACTTACTTCTGAGGTTGTGTGTAGGGTGTATCTGCACATATAATCTATGTGTGGTAGTGACAAAATAACTACCTAACCGTGTTTATTCTATAAAACTTTGGGAAGTGACTGAACACTAAAGAATAACAGCAGTACCCTCTAGTTCTAATAGCATTTTAAGAAACTATTCCCTGAAAAAATGAGATAAAATAAAAGGCAGTTGAATAGGTACAGGGTTAAAAACAAAAAAAGAGATATAGCTGCTAAGTAGGGATTGTTGGAAATCAGCACATATTTTTATATATGTACAGGTAAAATCCATGGAATAATTGCTGTCCTGGTCTAGTTAGAGTTTGTGTTTTTTTGTAATACTTTTATTAAAGTTTACAAATACAAAAATAAAAGACTAATACAAACTAAGAGAAATACAAAAAGTGGGGCGGGGGGGAAAGCCAAGTAAAATACACTGCTGTATTACCAGGAGCCAAGATGGAAGAAACCACTTTTAACAAAAAACTAATAGAGAAGCAGGTAAAGTTGGTCCCCTCTGCATTTTTCATGGAGTAAATCTAACTGAATTCAAATATGCAAGTGTGCTAGACACCTGGGCAATATTTCTTTGCATATTTCTCTCAAGTAAACACGAGCAAATTCAACCTCACATGTCAACAATTATAGCGCTATTGGTTCACTGGGGGAAACACTGCAAATTCATTCAAAATCACAGCTGGGTGATACTTTATCAAGACCCATCAAATTAACACAAAAGGATGTGTAAGCTTTCATTTTCTCGAGAACTCTTCATGGGCATGCTTAATCACTTCCGACTAAACAGGTAGGGGACTAAGCTGCATAGATTTTGTAGGGCCCAAATCTTGCAGGTAAGTTTTCCAGTCTTTCCCCAGAATTACCTGAGTGTATTGAGCGGAGGATTACATATTCGAATCACTGCCACTTCAGGCACTCCCTGCACGTATTCAGCCATAACTTTGCGTCAGATCGTTGCCGAATGGCAGGACAACGAACGCTGGAAGCTTATTCGGGCAATATGGGCGCGAAGGTGGCTTTGTGAAAGCGATAACCTGGACGGCGGAGCCGGAATCCAAGAGGAGATGGGCGTTGTTGTCTTAGGGCCGCGCGCGCACGAGAGGGAGGTTCCAACTTGGGCAGGAAATCTTGGCGGAATGCAGCGCATGCTTAAGAGCAGTCCAAATTCTCTGGAGTCGACCTAAAACGGAAATTAATTTAATTTAAACTAGGGCTGACGGCGTGGTTTTACAACGGGGCTGCCTTCTAGCGAAGAGGCCTCTCGGAAGATCTCTAAGGACATAATGGGGGCTGAGAATTACTGTGTTCCGTTGACTGTGACTGTGTTAACTGTGTTCGTTGAAGTCAGTGCAAAATACATATAAATACGAGGTGGAATGGGATAGAAATGGGATGGTGTACAATATCGGCCTTCCTCTTTTAAACGGCTCCGTAAGCCTTTTTTTTAATTTAGAAAATATTTTCTGGGAATTTCGTATGTGTGTGATTTTGTGTAATTCTGAAGCGCCTAGAGGTATAAATGATTTAGTGTTTCTATATACCTAAATAAATGGAAATATGCTGATATTGATATCTTCTTTAATATAATTTTATATACTTTCTGCTGCTTTGTTTTAAAAAAGGTATTTTGAAAGTCATTTTAGGACATCTCCTAAATGTACGGATAAATCATACAAAAGGAAGAAATAGCTATGGCATATTATGGGGTGCAGCCTTCACACTGATGACTATTTGAACTGAAATGTATTATTTGCAGCGGAGAACCACCATTCCTATCGTTAATTGCAGTTCGGAACTGCCAACTAACTTTTTCAGACAGAGTTTATTAATTGTAGGTGCAGAACTCACTAGGCTGCAAAGATAAAGCACAAATCCCGTACTTGTGAAGGTTTCCTGGAGAGAAAACGTCATTAAACTGAGAAGACCCTGTTCCCCAATAACAGTTATAACATATATATTCTAGGTATTGTTTCATAGATAAACATTATATTGAGCTCAGTGGGGAACTTTGCAACACAAAAACAATTGCAGACTTGTTTTATTACCCGGTTGACTGGAATTAAACAACCGATCTAATTAAACAAGTAGTCACATAAGGGGATGTTAGCCACTGTTAGTTGCTGCGGCCCATTCACTTCCACTTCAAGTACAGACCCAAAATGCACCAGATAAGCGATCTGGCTCCTAAGCTACGCTGTAAAACATGTACGTCTCACGGCGACTATGTGTGGCGAGGAGAAGCTGCAAATAGGGAAATGCTTAAGATTTTCCTGTCAATAATATGAACGTCAGCAATGGAAATGAGAAATCGAAACACCTCTGACTCGACGCTTGCCTTTTCTAGGTTTAAGGATTTTCGTTTTGAAATTCACGGACAGAAAATGCTGCCTAAGGCAACGGGGATACAATACTGTAATGGCAGCAACGCCTTTTACTTGGAGGACATGAAAGCATCTTCTGCGCTGGTATGTGAGGCTAGGAGGATAACTCGGGCTAATTTATATGAATGTGTCACCGGGGTTACGGTGGAAGAGAAAGCACAGCCTATCAGACTTCGCATTAACGTTAACAGTGATTCAATCCGAACGCTCATCCCCGAATTCCCCTGTTTACATAGGACCACAACAGCTCCTGCAGCCTTCGTGGCGGGGGTGTGGGGAGCCGGAAGTAGATTTATCAAAAGCGAATTTGTAGGGGGCAGTGGCTGTTTACTTTTCTGTCAGGTGATGCCGGAAGTGACGCAATGTTGACGACCCGGCAGGTGGGAGGAGGACCAATGGCCGACGGTGGCCGATTCAAGACGGCATTCGGGCGGTAAGTAACGGGCGCCGCGAAGTGAGCTCTTTTGGAATGTGAGTCTCTCTCGTTAGGGCTGAGGCACAGCGGTTTCTGATCGTGAGGGCGTCAGGAGGCACTCCGGGATATTCAGAGCTACCTGCGCTGTTTCTTGGCTTTGCTGCGTCTTGTTGGCCAAAGGAGCGTTTTCACCTTTGACATGGATACCTGGATACGTGGTAGGGGCAGGACCGCCGTTGTCATTAGAGCACCGAGCCTGCAGATTCGCACCATCAGGCGCACATCTCCTCTGTCCATTATTGATCAGACAGAAACTAAAGCGTGTTGTAACATTTGTTTTTTTGTTTTCATAGCTAGGAATCTCTACTTGAAGGCAGTCATACCCGCCTTCTGATTCCAGAGCCGGGGGATGGGGTAGAGGCGTGATTATACTTGAGAATAAAAATATGTTATAAAACCATACACTTCCCACAGTAGGTTATTCAGTAAAGAAGTATGTGGAAAGCATGGCTATCTTATAAAATCTGTTTTGGGGGGGGGCGGGTTAGTTCAAATTATGTGGCATACATTTCGGTGATAAGTTTCCACTAAGTTCAGTGGAGCTCATTCCTGGGTAACCATGCATAGGGTTGTTTTATTGTGCCGAATAAACCATGTGTATTAGTGATAAAATAACTCCACTTAAACGTCCTTGTTCTACAAAACTTTGGGATGTGAATGAATAACAGCACTACTATCTAGCAGTAATAGCACTGTAACAAACTATTCCTCCAAAGCAAAAATTAAGATAAAACATGGCAGTTTAGTAGATTCAGGGCAAAAAAATATAGCTGTATCTGACAAACAGGGATTTTTGGAGATTAGCACATTATATTTTTAATATATTCATAATAGGATCCATGGGAAAATTGGATATATGTTATCTTGGTCTAGTTAGGATTTGGATTGGGAGGAATTTCTGTTATATGAGTAAGAAACTTATTGATTAATAAAGAGTTTAGTTGTAATAGAACATGATTTTATCCTTGTATGCAAATTGGCTCATGTTAGCTGTATTCTCACAATTGTTGATCATACTAGACATCTTTTTAATATAGTGCGTACCCTATTTTATTAAGGCTTTCAAAGATACTATTTCATTCAAATTTAAAATGGTTGTCCTTTAAATTAGATGCTGTAATCAGCAACAAACCTAACATAACAAGACCTAGGTTAAAGTGATCCAAGGTTTCATCTGCATTTGACATGGGGAGTTGAAATCTTGGGCAAAAATAAATGAATTGGAGATTACTTATGGTATTGTGCATTCTCTCACTGCCTAGTTTTTTTTTTTCTTCTGCATGTTGTGGGTGAACACCTAAAATAGACAAGGCAACCCACAGGACAGGGGTGATGTTTGAAATTGAATACTGCTTGTAGAAGGGAAGCTAGCATTTTTAATATCATAGGAAGGCACGAACAAGTTCTATCAAGCATTTGGTATATTCCACCAATGCTGAGTATTTTGGAAGTGATGCAAACACATTGAGTTACCCAAATAAATGGTAACTAAAAACTTTCAAATAGTGTCTAGAGACTCTACCTCATCTCTGTAACACTTTGCACTACTTTTTCCAATATGCCTTGCAAAACAGATGTAACATCATAAAATGAGAATATCTTTTTAATGTTTTCTGATTTGTTCTGATCTTGTACCGATGTACTATACTTTTAAAGTGCTATACAATACTATTGTACAAATTGTCTTGAATTTATTTATACAATTTAGAATGCTAGCAAATATATTTTTAGGCCTTAGCAAGAAGCAAGAATATGTTATTTATTTGCTATATTTTCTGGTGTAACGCTGTTCAGAAGATCTAAAATAATTAACACATAACACTAAGCTAGAAGTTCTTTTGCCTAACTATAATTGGTTTAAATTTCTGAACTTACCCCAAGCAAGAAAATATGATTTTTTTTGTCAGTAAATTACAATTTGATATCATGGTTATAGTGTTTATAGCTGAACCTGAAATCTTGATTTGTTCCTAGTTTATGCCTCTTCCTAATTTGCAGAAGTATGCTGCATAAGCTGTTTAAAAAACTCTAAGCTAAATTACACTTTCTTGCTTCTTTTCCCAAATTCTTTATTCTCTTGGCAGTAGTTCATCACTTGACTTTCTTCACGGACACATGGTCTCCAAACCTAAATATTTGCCCCCATAAAGTATAGCAAAAATTGCTATTGCACAAAACAGAAAATAGTAGTGGTCAGGAAGATACATCCAGGCAAAATATATATCCTATGTAAAAATCGCACAAGCACATCCATTGACCCACAAATAACATAAAATATGTATCTGTGCTGCCCCCTTGTACAGTTTTTTTAGATGTATTTATCAAAACAGGCCCTTTTAATAAAATACAGATGTACATTCCTAGCTGGTATATGTAGCAGAACAAAGAAAAAGTTACCTAAGCAGGTGAGGCTCCAGTAAAAGCCATTATGACATTGTGTGTCTTGTGACATAATCATGTAAATAGGACAAATTATATAATTTACATCTGGCATATCATGATGCAAATGACATGCACATAATTTGCATCATTTGCACCCATGTCTTAAAATGTTACCAGGGCTAAGGGCTAAAATGTTACCAGGGATAAAAGGCATAGACTCAGTAAAGAAATCATGTTTCTTCCTATTCTTCCTACCTAGGGCCATATTAACCCTTGGGAATCTATATTTTGATAGATTATAACATACATAATTTTCCCTGCAATGCCTTGCAAATGTTAATGCATGCACACACAAATACAGATAAAATACATACCTCACTAAAGAAACCCAGAATCACATAATGCACAAGTACAGGTAGTAAGATACCATACAGTAAATAGTATGCCTATGTTAAGCAATAGATTTGCTTCAGTCTGGTTGCCTAATTTGCTTTACCAAACTTTTCCTTCTGCCCCAGTGCTTGCTGAAGTAATTTTAAGGTCACTGACTTTGGGATTATTTGTAGGATTTGGTGAAGCTATCCAGTCTGGAAGAGCTTTGAGGGCCCAAGGCTAGGCACCTTCACTGCACACTTAGAGCAATCCTACACCATTTGCTTAAAGTACCAAACCTGGAAACATTCTGGCCGATGCTGTGTGAGGGTGCTTTAAGCTTCTTCCATAACACTTGCCAAACAAGGCTTCTTCAGTCTTCTTTCACAGCACAAATTCTGCAGGAGAAAGCTGGGAGAAGTCCCAAGCAGCCTAAAGTATAGCAACATGGTTGCTTTATATGAAGAAATCAAGGAACCCTATTGCTTCATGAAGCAGCTTTTGTAATGAACCCACATTCAGATCTTTGCACAGGGCTAATAAATACAAAACAATGATTCTCATGTATAGACAAAATAATCCTAAATCTAGGAATACTATCTAGGTATTTGCAACATTTCAAAGGAAATCAAACAGGTATTAGCTAATCCTTTAGAACCAGGCTATCTGAGAGAACAATTTCCATGTAGATCTTCCCAACAGAGAATTGCCTGACCATACTGCATCATATTGGCATTCAGTTGGTATCAACCACAAAGACGCTATTATCTGTTATAGTTCTGATACTGAAACTTTCTCCTCCTAGAGATAAACATGCACTAACTTTATTTCAAAGTAATTGCACTGAAATATTATTAACCTACTGTATGTCTGATGCTACCTCTCTAGTACTAATGGGTTTTTTTGTGTGTGTGCCTTCAAGTCAGTCTTTTACTCTGGTGTCTGCCTATGTAAATCCCTGCAATTTTCTTGGCAAGGTTTTTCGGAAGTGGTTTGGAATTGCCTCTTTCCTAGGGCTGAGAGAGAGTGACTGGCCCAAGGTCAGTGAGCTGGCTTTGTGCCTAAGACAGGACTAGAACTCATAGTCTCCTGGTTTCTAGTCTGATGCCTTAACTACTACACCAAACTGGCTCTCTTACTATTGGCTACTAGTGTACAGGTAGTCCTCGACTTATGACCAAAATTGGGATTGGAACTTCCATCACTAAGCAATGCAGTTGTTAAGTGAGTCGGGCCTGATTTTACCTTTTTCTCCATCTTTAAGTGAATCGTGGTTGTTAAGCGAAACTGGCTTCCCCTATTGACTTTGCTTGTTGGAAGCCCCCTGGGAAGGTCACAGATGGCGATCAGGTGAGCTCAGGATGCTGCATCCGTCGTAAATATGTGCCGGTTGCCAAGCACCCAAATTTTTATCATGCAGGGATGCTGTGACGGTCATAAGTATGAGGACTGGTCTGTAAGTTACTTTTTTCAGTGCTGTCGTAACTTTGAACAGTTCTTAAATGAATGGTAAGTCAAGGACTACCTGTAAATATTTTGTATGTTTTAATACATTTTAATATATTTTATTGGTTTATATATACATATTTTAAATTGCATAAAATGTATTTTAATACTGTACATGACATAGAGATGTATAGTATGACAATGTGGCATAGAAATAATGTATGTAAGTTATAAATAAATAAAACAAATTCTGGCAATGTTATATGCTAATACATCTGGGTAATTCTACATACATTTATCTTGTCGAAATTGCCTTCTAGTTTGCCAAAAATCACATTTTGGGAGAGAGTGTCAACCAGATGCAATCAGCAGGAATGCAACAAAATGAGCCATGAATTGTTGCCTTTGTACTGGAACTCACGATTTGAGAATGGTAAGTGATTACTTTTTACTCTCTCTAGTATTCTAGAGACATAAACCCTCTTTTGAAAAGTAAGTGTACAAGTTAGTAAAGGAATCTCATAGGAATTTATTTTATGTGACCAAATGTCTTGCTAATCAAGGCTTCCTTATATTAAGAATATAACTTAAGTTGATTTATTAATATAGTATATGTCATTTCATTTTATTTATTTGACAGTTTTTCAGTCCTGAAGGACTTTGAGCAGTGAACTGCAAGAACCAACATCTAAGTAGAGAGTATGATTGAATCAATACCATAAAACAATAAATAATTATAAAATCATTGAAAACTCTTATGGCACCCCCAGTCAGTTCAGACCAGAGGTGCAGTGGAAAAGAACATTTTTCAGAATGCAAAGAGGGTAGGGGTTTATGTGCCACTGGGGGGAGAGAATTTCACAAAGTGGGGGCTGCTACTGAAAGGCCTGCCATCTTGTCACTATCCCATGTGCCTTGCAAGGAGGGGGAACTGTCCCTCTACATGCGGGCAGATTCTGTTCTGACAAGGCATTGCCATATATAATTTTGAGGGGAATATAAGTATTAGAAGACATCCCAAACCAATTGTATTAAAAGCAGTAGGTTCACAACAGTAATGAGCATGTGTTTAAGCTAATGAGAATTATTCTTTAATGTATATATTCAATAAGAAGAGCATAAGTCTGGGGGGGAAAAAGCCTTTTCATGGGATAATAGTAGATGTTCTTTATCTTCTACAGTTTGCAGTGTGAAAGATGAAGAACAGAAGGTGGTTAAGATAAATGTAGCACAGTCCATAGCTTGCTTATTTATGAGTAAGTCCCTCTAAATTCAGTGGCACTAGTTCTTTAATAAGTTCCAATAGAAGGTGCTCTCTGGGCTTGGTTGTTTGCTTGCAGACATTTCATTACCCAACTAGGTAACATTATCAGTGCTAGTGAGTGTGGAGTTTGCTCCCTGTTTATATACAGTAGTTTGCCCTACTAGTGTTGGTGGAGTTGTGGTTTTCTCCTTGGTAGTTCCTTGATTAGGATATTGTTTTCTGCTTGATTGTTTGTCTGGAGTTAATCCCTGCTTATTTGGGTGTTGGCCACTGGAGGTAATGTGTCTTTTTGTTTCCTTCTTAGCTTTTTTATTGTCTCTTTTGAATGGTGTATAAATGTGGTTTATGTCTGTGTGTCTATTGATGGCTGATTAGTCTGAATGCCAAGCTTCCAGGAATTCCTTAGTGTTTTTGGATTTAGCTTGGTCTAGGATGTTCACTGTTACCCAGCTGAAACCATGGTTGAGTCTGTCCATGTGTTGTGAGATTAAGAAGTTTTCATGCTAATTGGTGTTCATGGATGCACTCTGCTAGTGGGTGTTCATGGATGCACTCTGCTAGTCTTTTACCTGTCTGCCCTACATAGTGGTTGTTACAGTCCTTACACTGTATGTTGTAGAAGACTCCTGTTTTTTCTTCTTGGATCACTGGGCCTTTTGGTTTGCTTAAAATGTTTTGGAAGCTTTAGTTAGTTTGTGTGCTACGGTGATGCCGTGTGGTTTTAATAGTCTTTTGGTTGTTTCTGAGATGTTTTTGATGTATGGTAGTGTTATCCTTTTCATAGCTTGTGTTG